CAATTACAACATAAAATTCAACTAATTCTTTACATGATTATTTCTTACATTTTTGTTGTATTACTCTTTGGCTCCAATAATCAGTAAAAATGGGACATTAAGGTGACTGCTAACCTACTTACCAGTTCAGTTCACTCTCAATATCAGTATTTGTTATCCTTTTATCCGATGCATAATAGTGGGATTATGTATTTTGGAGTACGTACATAATATTCAATTTTAAGCAAAAAGCATAAAAACTCAACAGTGGAGTATTTCAAATTTTTATTACATTTATTTTATTACGGAAATATAATTTGCCCTAAGTTTGAGGTGATTTTGATTTTGTTTTGTTTTAATGAGAGCCTTATTTCAAATAAAGGTGAAGACTCCTCCTTTTCTTTACAGAATCCAACATCACACCTATTATTTTCACATCACAATTTCTGAGAAATATATGAAATGGACATGAGGAAAAACTTCTTTACTGAAAGAGTGGTTAAACATTGGAACAGGCTGCCCAGGGAGGTGGTTGAATCACCATCCCTGGAGGTATTGAAAAGACGTGTAGATGTGGCGCTTAGGGACATGGTTTAGTGGGCGTGGTGGTGTTGGGTCAATGGTTGGACTCGATGATCTTAGAGGTCTTTTCCAACCTTAATGATTCTATGAAATAGTTTCTTTTCCTGAAATTTTTTTACTGAGAACCAGCACTTCTAATGTCTGTGGGTAAACTTTGCTTGGGATGTTAACAAAAGAACTGATGTTCATATGTATTAGTTTAGCCTGCAACATTTCCTCATTCAGATCGATATTCATGTTTTAGTGACTGAAAACATTCCTTTACATCCCATGTGCTAGTCAGTTAACCAAATCTCTTCAGCAGTTCAAACATACCACTGCACTCTGGAAAAGATCCACATTTTTAAATGGAAAAAATAACAGCTATATTTAGAAGTGTCTTCTTTCTGCTCATGCTTGTATAATGAATAGGTTCTTTGAAAACTGGTATGACTAAAAATGACACCTTCCCAATTGTAAACCAGACAGATCAAGCCTTGGTCCACATTCAAACTCCAACCAGCTAGCCAGCTAAGTAATCCAGTACCTCCCAGAAGTACATGCTTACCTGTATGCCATGTCTCTCATACACATAACATCAAGGAAGATTTGCAAAGACTACTTTGAGTCTGCTCTGTGCCACAGAGATACTGGGCCTTTAAGTGATCAGTGGGGCCCTCTGAGTGCATCACATTCAATAGATTAAATAGGTGGAGCTTTTATACATACATATGTATAGTACTACATACCTACAACAGCAAAGGCTCAGAAATTTAAAGTGAGATTTTATGTACTAGTTCATAGGCTACTGAAAGCAAAAAGAGCATCTTGCTGTGCAAGATGCCACTACTGAGCACAACAGATACAGCTTACATGTAACTAAAAACACATTTCATCTACTAGCTTCAGTTGTTTTATTTCTTCTAGTCTGGATCAAACCATAAGCCTTGATCACACAGAATTCTGTCTGTGGGAAGGTATTTCCACATTTTTAATCCTTTGACATCTGCCACAGCTACCGTCCATCTTCAATTTCTGCTCCACCCAAGAACTATAGGATATGTAACGGCCGTGAGCATGTAACAAGGAGTGATTTATTATTCTGTTAGGCTAGCTCACCTAGTTTTGTTTTCCTATTATTTAGTCATAAAAGGGAGTAAGCTTCAGTTCTCCCAATAGAGTAAATTTAAATATACATCCTTCAGATTTTCACAAACTTGAGGCCAACACAGCCTCATTTTGCTGCTGTATGCCTGCTAATTAGACCTAACACTATGTCTATTCATAGCTACTTTTAAAAATTATTTTTCTAACAGCTTCTTCTTTAGAGTGAAAATTAAGCTAGGTTGCGGTTGGAGGAAAGATTTCTCCATCTATTCTGTTATAAAATATGATTCCGATTAAGATGATAAAGGCATTTAAAAGGAAATGAAACCAACATAAATGTATTCCATCTCCTCAAAACAAGTATTATTAAAGGAACTGCTAGGCATTCCTGAAGCATCAGGCTACCACAAAACCAATACAAACAGATGCTGTATTATTCTACGAAATTTCCATTCTGGTTTGCTTGTGGACTATAAGTTTGGTAGCAACAAATGTTATGGGTAAGCAAAGATGATGACAAAGACATGTTCTGGATGATATTCTCAATCACAAGCTGATGGGGACCAAAATCCACTAGCCACAGGGGCTGCACAAATGTAGCAGCAATGAAGGCTGAATCATAAACCCCCAAATGCGGCTGATCCATCTACCCAGGGCTGTATCTTCAAGAGGTGTGTACCAATAGCATATGGAGATGCAGTAGGCAACTGACAAGCTCCATCCACCTCCTCCCTTTCCAGCTGAGCCACAATGACTGGTTTTATGCTTGTTTTTAGTTTTCACCAACTGAAAAGTAAAATGTGCTAGCTTAAGCCACCTTCCTGATAATCAGATTTCATGGTTGTTTGAACTAAAATGCTATGAATCACAAGGTGATAAACTGAAAGCACACACACCCCAATTATAATTACTGGAGCCATGGGCAGTAACTTGTGAAGCAATGTTTAATAAACCGCTTTAAAAATGCCCACACCCTTGGTTAGATGATCAGTTTCTGAAGTAAGCAGGGAAATCTAGTTAAGGAAAAGTATTTCTGGAAAAAAAATGTAAGACGAAAAAAAGATTTCTTGTTCCGTTTTATATTTAAGACTAAATTTTAACACTCAATTTGTGATTAAATTTGCAAATAGTTATTTCATTCTTTCCTTCTTTTTCTGATGCCCACTGAACCCATCAGAGAATGATTAAGATGATGAATTTGAATGATAATGAAAGATGGATCTGGGAACAGTAATTCTACTCATTCTACATTAAAATTATTATAAGATAGTTCATTTACAGATTTGCATTTTGTTTTAAAAAGATGCTGCAGTTCATTTACAGATTTGCATATTGTTTTAAAAAGAAGCTTCATATCATTTAAGTTAACTACTCCTGAAATCAGGTAGGTAGGCACACCATCCTAATGTTTTCTGAACAATTTAAATATTGTGAAGATACTATTCAATTTTCATTTTCACCACGTTTAGCACTTTTTTTAACATGTATTTTGAACCTGAGATGGGAGCAAATAAACAGTAGAAAAATATTACGAAAACATCTGTCTCAGATTTCATTACAATATTACGAAAACATCTGTCTCAGATTATTACAAAACTGCTAAAGAAATAAATCTCTGAGAATTGAAAAATGTTTAATGATTATTTTTAAAAAATTATGTCAAGCAACAACTATAACTTTTCATTTTACTATAATAAAGGAAGATCCACCTAATACTTACATTAGATAACTTCTGGCTAAATTATCTAAAAACTATGTATTATGTCCACATCTACCATTCTGAGAATGAAAGTTATTTCACACTAAAAACAAGTGGTTTCTTTTTATTCTTGGTCCTCTGTGAAGCATAGCTGTACCTAGTAAAAACACTATGGACATCAAATAAATGAGAGAGGTATCAAAGTGAAAGTCACTTATTGGGTACCTTGTTCCATCCACTGGCATGAGCAGCTGTCTCTTGTGTGCGCTCTCGATATTCTTGGTATGTCACCGGCCTGCAGAAGTTAAACCAACACTGAAAGTTATAAAAGGAAACAAAAGAACAAGAATAAAATAAAATTCTCAGTTTCCAGAGAACAAATTATTTTCACATGTATTACAGCAAATAATTTTCAAGAGCTAACAAGTCTCACGTTTCAGGACATAAAACACCAGCACCAGACAGGGTCAGGAAGGCATCACCTTCTCCCAGTTACACAATTTCATATAATTGGTTAAGTGAATTTCATAGTAATTTGATACTCTACAACTTAAAGGACATTAGATAAGTAGGTTCTCTGATATGCTACCAAAATTTCTAAGCTCTTGCATATAGTTTTTTATAGTCTAAGACTTTAAAGATAAAAAATTCCACTAAGAAATTCATATGTGAGAGGCCAATGCAGAGTAAAATTTTTATAAACAATACAGGCTATAAACCAACACAGGCTGCTTGACTGCATTAACATTATGTTACAGTTGAAGCCTTTATTTGCAAGAAACAGCACTTTTGATCACAAAAACCCCTTCGTATTTCAGTAGATAACCTCTATTTTAGATTTATCACATCTCTGCTTCTCTGAATTGGGATGATGAAATTCCCCTCTTCCATACTCTTTCCTCCAAGATCATATAGTATCTTAGAGTCAGCAACAATAAAGACTTTCTGCCAAGTGAAGCAGAAGACGTACTGCTTCAAAAGCAGTTGCCCCAAAGCCAGACCATGACAGAAGGTAAGTTCAGACTTTAGTTTAAGGGAAAAAGTGGTAACTGGTGTTGGACAGAGACTGCTTACTGAACTCCAAGAACCTGTCATGATCTAACAGTCTGCTGTACTGTAACATACTTGTTTATATGCATATAAAAGGACAAGAAAATATCAAATATAAGCAAAATAAATAAGTATTGCATCAAATAGCTGTAGCACACATGGATAAAAGAGAGTTAAAGCACACTGGGGAAAACATAATTTGGGTTCGTCATTTTAAGTGCATTCTCTTAACTTCCTTGGTACATTAGTTCCTTTAAAACGCAAATCCAAATTAATCAGTGGGATGAGAAGAGCAACAACAGCTGGAAGGATATTATCAAAAGATTAAACAGTAGCTCTAGATTGCCCTATAAAAAGACATGTGTGTCAACATATTTTCACAGGCATTTCAGACTTTGTATGTATGGATGTACGTATATAAATAAAAAAAATAAATACTTAGAATGCAAGTATTTTCCCATAGAAAACACAAGAAGCCTAGAACATCAGGCTACTAACAAGCTAGAACCACTTAATTTTCAAAGACCTTATCTCAGGAACTCTCCAAAAAGAATCAACCTAGAGTGCACCAGTTATGACCCCTCACTGTCAGACAGTCAGCCAATACTCCATTATCTACAACCTTTAAGACATTTAAACTTTAAATGCTGTTACTTCAATTTACCATTTTAGACACAAAAAGGATGGGTTGCAGGACTTACTGCTAATTTTCCAACTTGTTGCCAGTCTGTTTTTTTAGTGTGTAGTGAGGTATTTACCAAAACCTCAGCTCTTCAGAAGATACTAAGTTTGTAAGGCCACATGGGGCAAATGCCTGGCTTGTAAAGGCAGATAAGCTTCTGCCATTTCTGGAGGAACACACTAGCGTACCTTTTGCCACTTAAGGAGAAACCTGTACCCCTCTTTTCTGTGGGTAAATAATTGTTAGTTTACACAATACGGAACTTACTTTTTGACCCTACAAAAACTGCATATAGAAGCAGACAATATATATATTAGTTTCTGAAAGTTAACTGGTGAGTTGACAGAGTGTACTTTTCCCTTGGATGACTCATGGAAAGAGACAAGCATCTTCATCTGTCTGGCCAGATGTCACATGGCACCTTTGCTGCGAAATCCAGGTCAGAGTCATAGAATCATAGGATGGTTTGGGTTAGAAGGGACCTTTAAAGATCATGGGCAGGGACATCTTTCACTACATCAGGCTGCCCAAAGCCCTATCCCACCTGACTTTGAACAGTCAGTTTTAAATTATATTGGTCATAAGAAGTCAACCCTTAATTGTTGACTAGGGAGCTAGTTAAGGAATAGACGGTCTAGTTAAGGAATCACAGAATGGTTGAGGTTGGAAGGCACCTCTGGAGAACATCCTGTCCAACCTCCCTGCTCAAGCAGGGTCTCCTACAGCAGGCTGCCCAGGACCATGCCCGGACAGCTTTTGAATATCTCCAAGGACGGATGCTCCACAACTGCTCTGGGCAACCTGCGCCAGTGCTCAGTCACCCTCACAGTAAAAAGGTGTTTCCTGATGTTCAGATGGAATGACTTCCAAATTTGTAATCTTCCAGAAGTCTGCCATAAAGGGTATTACCTTCATGAGGGCATGAGATGCCTCTCCAATGCATGTATAGAAGGCTTAAGCCCCATGCATCATAAAGTTTACACTAGGCGCTGGTACCTAGGCTTCCAGTACCTTGTTGTTCAAACAGTTCATGAACAGCTACGCAAACTCTGAAAGAGTAGTACTAGAGATTCTCAGCTTCTTTTGAGCCGTATTATTTAAACCAATCCACAAAACATAGACTCAGATAGCTATTTGCTAATGCTGCCTTCACAACTGCATTTATGTAACTGTCCCTAAAGAAGTACCTTCCACCTCCAGCTCTCTACAAATACATTCTGGAGGTCACTCAGAACAGCCAGAAGTAGTTCATGTGGATCCATTAAAATCAAGCTGATAATTTATAATAGAAAAACAAGCAATCACAACAATTTTACCAATTTGCAAAAGACAATCAAGATACTAGCATGCCACATACAATGTGCTATTTAAACAATAAGCTTAAACTAGAAGGACAGTTCTTAAGGCACCAAGGTTAGCCCAGGGGCCCACATTTGCTTCAGATGTGTCCCTGAATGGTGGTCATAAAGCATCTAACTACCATCCTTTCAGGGAAACTCTCCCACTCATCTTGAGCCAGACTACAAACAAACCTTCAGCTCTACTCTTAACCATAAGGTAAAAGAAGTTAATCTGGCTACAGCCCAGCATTCATGAAATTGGCAATGGCAACTGGCAGCTGCCAGCTGCTAGTTTCACCAGCAACTCAAACTACTTGAGTTAGTCTCAGAAGTTCAACGATAAAAGCTTAGAAAAATTTTAGGACTTACATTACTGCAAAGAGCAAATACCACAAAGAAGTATTTGCACATTACAACACAAAACAAAAAACCAGCCAGATAAAGGAACACTGAAAAAGAAAGAAATGCAATACAAAATGTAGTCCCATCTTTAGCATTTCAGCAGCTGTCACATGCATTTCCATGCAAAAGGAAACACCTTCCCTTTGAAAAAGCAAATGGAGACTCACTTGCTAAGCAAGCTCTGCAGTGCTTTGTGCAGATGTTCTTTCAATTCCTGGGACACTTTCTCCCCCAGATGAGCCAGGCAGTCTTCTATTGAGCTCTCTGGATTGGCAGGACTGAACACTGGGGAAGTGTGGCAGTCAAATCCTGTAGTGGTAAATGCTGAGAAAAAAAAGTATACAAAATAAAATAAAATAGATTCATATAAGAACATCAACAGTCTCAGATTTCTTATCCCACCAGTTAACACAGTTTACGTAAGGGATGAAGAAATCACAACTCTATAGTCAAAGCATGCTGTGAACAAATTGTAGTAAAACAAGTATGGTCCAAATACATTCTGGAAGTGGTACTTACAAGTCACAGATGACTTTGAGCTACATTCCCCCTCCAGCTCTTATTTCACAACTGCATCCTAACCAGCAAGTTAGCTGAATGTGCAACTATTCTCAATTTTAAGCTGATGTGAACCCTGATGGAGCAGCAAGAGAGCCTCTTTTCCACAGTAAAATTTGCCCACACATGGACATATCTGCAGCAGTATTAGAGTACCATTTTTTAAAATAATATTTTGTTCATATAACCTTTTCCTTCTCAATTTAAAACTTCTAAGAAAGGTCTGTATGGATGAACGTAAACAGATCTAGAGCCTTTCTACTTCAGATTTCCAATTTGCAACACACATGCAAAGCAAAGATTGTTTCCAAATCATCCCTTGCTGGGAGTCCTATAAAAGCCTCATCTATACGTCAAAGCATGTCACAAAAAATAAAACCTGGTGGAAGTGAGAAATCAGATGGTTTAAGTCCACACTCCCCTGTATGTTAGCTGCTGAGGAATGATTTAACTTCTGTCATCAACTGGAGCAGCTTAAGGGCTGCTTACATTTCATTATTTATAGTAGCCTATTAAATATCATTCAATTGTTTGCTTTGGCTAGACTCCACTGCTCCAAAAGGTAACGTTTAACTATTTTATTTCATGTGACAATGTGTAGAAATCTTGCAGGGGGAGGAGGGTAAAGAGATTCAATGAGTCCAAAAATCTCTTTAACTAGAGTACCTGTTACAAATTAACCACCATTATAGGGCATAGAGATTATTGATTGAAATGGGAAAATCTGAAGAGCACCTTCCAAGATTTCTTCATCAAGATGTTTTAGCTCCTCCTCAATTTCTATTTTAATCTTCTCCAAAGCCTCTTTCTCCAAAGCATGTTGTCCCATAAGCGGTTGTTGAGTCCCTAAAAGAAACCAGAGAAATTATTCAAATGTAGTATTTCAAATAAAGTAGATAATGGAACATGATATTGAAATATTAACTATAAAGGTGAAAGTTCTATTTCAGACAGCAACGCAAAAAGTATGATCCCTTAAGGACACTTATTACAAAAGTTTTATTATATGAACCCAGAAACAGATAAACTTCCAGGCCTGTTCAAGATAGAATAGGTACTTTAAATTATGAATATATTAAAAAAAAAAATTAGAACTGTAAAGCCATAAACAGAATATATAGCGGCTTTAAAAACAATCTTATCTTAAATTTAAGACCAAAATCAGACTAAGGCACCAGTCATTAATACACTCATTATCAAACTACACCAAAACAAAGCAGACATAGCATAAGCTTGATTTTTAGTAGCAAAATATAAAATTGATATGGATGCCTGCAAAATCTACAAAAATACTGAGAGCAACTATGTAATGACATCAGTGAAGAGTCCCAAAATCTATTAACTGTGCATCATTTCGTTGTTCATGAGGAGTCTACAGGCCACAATGAAATAATTTAAGACCATGTTCACAACTAACAATAGAGGCAAAGGACCCCAAAATTGTCAGTCAATTGTCAATTCTCATCTCCTAATGAAGTAATTTAGGAATCTGAAATGGCTGCATATCCCCTACATGTCGCGGTTTGGCATCATGAATACATATTCCACGTGCTGACTCTAGATATTTGGTAACAAGAAGTTGTTTCAGCCTTATCATTCAGGATTACATAGACTCTCAATCATCTTAATTATTATACTGTAGCAAAAGAGAGGCACAAACTGTTTCCAAACAAGCCAAGGTATTTAAAACATTTGAATCTTTAAGGAACTGCCTGCTGAATGTCAACCTTTCCAATATAAGGCCGTATGGCAAGGTAACTACTCAAGTAACTGCTTTATGGGATGGGTACTAATGGAAAGACTAGATGTCTGGGACAGAGTTCCAGCTCAAAACTCTTGTTATTTAGCTACTTTTTCTTTGGGTTTGCTCATCTTTATTTCTTCCATCAGCTTTCGAGCTTGTCTTCAAATCCCATTCTTAAAGCACACTACAAAAACTGTTCCATTAACCGCTGTCTTATTTTCACCAAATATCACTGAATCAACAGCCTACTACTGAAATTTTCTTCTTCCTTTCTTTCAATTCCTTAAAATGTCCTACTTGGAGATAAAATGGATCTCTCTTATATCCACACGAATATAGAAGTAAATTTTGTATCAACTTACTCCTGAAATAAATAAATAAACAAATAAAATTGACCACAAAACTTCCCTTTGCTAAGTAATCCCCCTTCCAGCCATTTCCTTCCCTAAGTTTTGGGTCAATTATCAGTCCTTATTAGCCCTGCACTCTGCTACTTTCAACAGTATCAGTGACTGGGTTACCCAAAACACATTTTCTTAGCTCTCTTACTTCTGAGTATTCCTTATAATTCTTTTTTGGGGCTTTATATTCTCTCGTGCCCATGATTTAAACACCATCTCCTGGCCGACCTTCTGATAACGTTGCCCATGTCCACTGTTTCTTACTCATGCACCCAAATACTAATGAGTCTCCAACCTATCTTACCCTCTCTGCACCTACACCAATTGCCTACAGCTCTACCTGGGTATCTAGACATCATTCCGCTCTACAGATGTTCTTCACTCAGTTGAAGAAAATAAAAAGGGAAAGGATTTGTATCTGTAATGTTGGTATCATTTGACTTCATTTCTTCCTCATCACTTATATTTCACATCCAAATCTTCAGGTAAGTTCTGCAATACCCCATGTAGCTTTCTGGCATGTCTTTCTTCATGCCTGTTTTGAAGACACTAAATCATAATTTCGTGGTCTTATGAACAACTGTCTATTTTCTTCGGTTCATCTCTGTTTAAATCTGCTTAAACTCACTTAAAGTGGTGTATCGCCTTCCCCTTTCCTCCATAATGGACACACAGTATCAATAGTTTTCATACCAGAGTGTGTGAAAACCGTAAAAGCAACAATACTAGTTAACACACACAAATGCCTAGTAAAGTACACTGTGCATTTTCTGTATTTAAAAAAACAGTAGACAGTAAGCTTGCAAGGTCTCCTACATTTGAAAAATAAGTTAAAAATCCACAGAATCAACGCACTGAATGTATGCTAATGCTTAAAAACTCAGCGCTCAAGAGATACCTGTGAGACAAAATCTTTCTAAACCAATGTACAAGTCAGTGTAAAATGTTTATGTTTATTTATGTGAACAGTTTAAAGGAACAACAGATAGTCAGTTTAATTCCATTTTACTTAACCACACAGTTAGATCATCATCACCATGTTCAGAATAACTTTATTTAGCTTCTTAAATCCCTTCTCAAACAGTCTCTCTTTGCCACTCTGAACAGTAAATTCCAGAGAGGAGCAAACTGTTCCTCCTTTTGGTTAATGAACAGACACTTACTAATGCCTTGTCAGTCCCTTTAAGGTTGCCTCTTTGAATGACTGAACCATTGCTTCACAGTCAAGTGCAACAAGTATATGCAAGTACCAACTCTTATTTTAACCTGTGCTTCACCCTGTATATGGAAGGGATGAGGCTATTCAGAAGAGCACCCGTTCTCACGGGACTAATGTGATGATGATCACACATGACAAGCTGTCATACTTGATAATAAGTCACCCGGAAAATGGAAGGAGGAGAAATTCCATTGCTGTCAGCGTACAAAAGAGCTGTTTAGATAATCAGTGCTGCAGTCAATGGTTTCCATCTCGTAACACCCACAACTTTGCAGCAGCTGCTGATTCCAATAGCACCTGACTATTCAGTCGTGCCAAAACATCAAAACCCTACCCCTCCCAGACCAGCGACTTTGCACTGTTTATTCCCCTAATTATCAATGGACTTCAGCTTTCTGCATCTCCTGTATGTTTACCCCTACCAACAAAAATTGCACCCAATGTTGGAGAACAGCAATTCCAATAGCAAAGGTCCTAAGCAAGCGGTATCTTTTTCTCTTCTAAACGACTTCCAAGTCAGTTTGGAAATAGGTAGAATAAAACAGTAAAAATAGCTTCCAGTAGATGAGAACCATGTTTTAGTTGTTTAATAATGCAAATGGTCACACCAGAAATGGTACCTGTAAGATCCATAAACACTGAATGCTTTCCTATGCTGAAAAAACGTGTTTGCCTATTACGGGCTTTTGGTAAACTGACTCTGAAAGGCCTCTTCCCAGCCCAAAGACACAACAAACCTCTGTTACACAGTCTTACACGAAGAAGTTAGTGCATTATACTTTCTATTTATGGAATAAATGTTCCCTTTTGTACAAGTGTGTTCTTGTTTTTCAGGTATTTGGAGGTAACCTGCAAAGTAGGGGAAAACGTATTCTAAAAGTCCATCAAGCACTGCATCACTGACAATCAGACAGCGTTACGACTACTAAATAAAGTAACGCTTCAGTAGAACTCCACCGATAAGGCCATTCCAGAAGTTTAGTAACAATAAAAGACTAACCCATTCCCCAGGTTTGACCCCAGGAGGAGGAGGGATGGGAAGTCATTCAGCTGAGCGAGAGAGCCGGCACATCTGATACTACAGTGTTTGTTTCAAACTACGGCTAACAAGAGACAACAGCAACTATAAGGAGAGACTGAAAAGCTGTTATGTCTTCTTAGTTCAAGTGAATGCAGGGTCAATGAAAAAGAAAGCCTTTGATGTCACAGATGCCTCCTGATTTTTTTTGTTTTCACGCTTGTAGTTTTAATTTACTAATATCTCTGTTTTCAAGTTCTCCTAGGTTTCTATATTACCGTCAGTATAGTTAACATTGACTTAAAAATTTAGTTTCAGCATGATTCTAGTATTTCTTTAACATCTCAGATTTTTTAAAACAATGAGAAAAAGCGTCTAAAATTTCTGCAAGTACTGAGAAGTGACAAAAATATAAGAAATCTCTTTACAAATTTATTCATCTGTTTCCTTTAATGAAAAGTATATCCATTACCCCAGCAAACTCCAGAACACAGACAGCCATACACAGATGTAGCCCTTGATTTTAAAAGATGTTTAAAAGTTCTTTATAAACCGTAAGAAGGCTCAATTTAAAAGAAACTAAAAAAGTCCAAAATATGAAGAACCAAAAAGAGATAAAACATTGCCAACTAGTTGTCTATTATCTTGTAGGCAGAGAGAAGGCTTAATTAAGTGAGAATTCACATGCCTGGAGGGACCACATCTTTCTCCTCCAAGTCATACCCCAAGAGCTCCCTTTCCTTGCCTCGGTTCAGGAAATAGCTCTCCCGTTACCATGACCTGGATCGGTCTGATGTACAATGTAGCTTTTCAGATTGTGACTTTTCAGCCAAAGTAGGTATGTTTTGCCCTAAGAGGAAAGTTTGTAAGGAACGAGTTACTCACCTAAGCTAAAAACACCTCAGAAACTCCTTCATTACCTACAGACCAACAACAGGTACTATGAAGGGTAAGTGAAGACACAGGGATGGAGTACAAAGAAAACCAAGATACTCTGCAACAGCCACTCCAACAGCCACCTGATGACATAAACAACAGCAGGTAACCCACCCATGACGGTCAAAACCATATAAAAGAGGTACTATTGTTAGATTTGGGATGGCCACTAAAGAGCCTTGAGCTCACCCACAATGCACGAAACCTGACCATCTCTGCCTATCTATAAATGTGTTTCCCGAGATGTGAGAGTTCACTTCTAACCAAAGCACGTAAACAAATAAACGTAAAACCCATCCCTCCCAATATCCCAGTTCAACATTGCTCAGCTGTAAGAAATGTGTGTGAGAAACCACTAAAATGGCTTGCTCATTGAATATATACAGCACTTCATACAGCAATTCCAAAACAGATAATAAATGGTTAAAAGAACATTGTGCAAAATAATTGGATTAAAGTACTGTGACTAGCATACACCTCAGGGAAACTGTAAAACTGTCAAAACCTTGTTCACCTCTTGAGTAAGCTATGCCACCATGCAGTAGTGGCATTGATTATAAATCTTCCAGATGCTACGAAAGCCAAGGGATTATTTAAAATTTCTCATTCTGTCAAGGAAAACACAGGAAAACTACTTTCATTAAGAATCTTCATTATGGCCACAGGCTCACGGGATAGGGTCAAACCATGGGGAAGTAGATTAAAAACCAGAAATACACTAAAAATTACTCCTTGGTGAAACATAAAGCAGCATTTATAATACAAATATATTGAATCACAAAATCAAAGTACTTCGACTCACTTAAAAAGTAAGTAGCACTAACTGCAGCAGACTGGAAGCTTCTATATGAGCGTGAACTTCACGGGGGGAAATGTAGAAATGTTTTCCAATACTTGATATTTATTTTCTGTGTACGAACCAGTAGTTATAGATACTACAGGAGTTCTGAAAAAATACTAAAGCAGCTTTCCACAATCTAATAAACAGATAACTGAGAGCTTCCACACACATTTTAAATAATTGTACTCATCTGTTGCCTCAAACCACATGAACTTACACAGATGATATCTTATCATGTGTGTTTTATCAGATTTATCCAAGCAATTTGTATTATTCACCTACCTGAAAACCTACCAAAAAAGTAACAAAGTTTACTGCTGATGGACTTTGCTTTAAATACACTGAAGTGGGTGCTATGCAGAATCACTATTCTGCCAAAACTGCAATAGAAGTGATCTCTCAAAATATTGCCCAGCTAAAGTTGCCGGATTTTCCTCTGGAGACACTGAAATCCACTACAGAATGCTATAGAGCTGTAATGTCAAAAGATTGGTTTGTCCGATAAAACTGCCTTTCTTTCAAGAGCCTGGAATACTGCGGATGGTTCTCTCTTCAGTCCCTGCACTGAAGAGGAGCTATGTAAATAAAACTTTTGAAGTAGTAATCAGATGTTGACTTAAAGATCGGCCTTCTTTGCTTGAAGTCAGCAGTGTTTTTAGCTCTTCTAATTGAAGCCATCTTTCTTGCACCAAAATCAAGACCAACCAAGAGATCCAAAAGGAAATACAATGAGGTAATTTTCTATGTAATTTGTCTGAGTTTTCTCTTTACTAAATAAAATCCCTCCGAAAACCATCACTCTGGTAAAGTATATTAAAGCATATTATGTCTGCAAAAAGTGAGAAGTTTTAAGATGAAATCTAACAAATAGCTTAAAGATTTACTCTTATCTGAGTTTTTGGAACAAAAAGAAAAAGATCAGAAAAAGAAGTCTCTAGCATGAAATGCAGGAAAACAAGGGGGAGATGACCATAGGAGGAAAGGGAGAGGAATGGACAAAAGCATTCAACTTCTCCTGCCAGTTCTAGCAGAGATAAAATAGTACCACTCCTGTTGGGAAAGATCGCTTTTTTGGTTGGTTTTTTGAGCCATCAGATACATTTTCTAGTTTAACTGGAGTGTTGAAACTTCACTGAAATCTGGAAGACTGCTGTAGAAGGAGACTCAAGGGAGGTACGGAAATACTAACTACACCTAGCGTGCCTTATTTTGCCACGTTCTGTATACATGCAATGGAAAGAGAGAAGATCCTCCAGCGGGTGATAGAAGGTGGCTGTAATCAGGATCCTGCTCTGAACCGCCCTCTAGAGGAGTCCTTCACTCTCCAATACTGCAGGAGACTTGAAAGAGATTAACATAGTGAGGACAAAGCCAGCCTTTCTGGATACTCCCCTTATATTGTAACATGATACAGAAATCAGACAAAGAGTAAGGACTTATTTGGATCTAAGAAAAATATACGAAGGGAAAGTACCATATACCAGAGTCAATACCTCATACGAACAAAACACATAAAATAGAGAACATCAACTAAAATCAGAACAGGCAATAGCCAAACATCACTGCCTCAACTGTTTCCCATGAAAGGTCTGTCAGGACAATAACCAAATTAAAGCAAAATAAGATAAAGTGACAGGTACTTTGTATCAGAATCCTCTCAATTCACAGATCAACAGCGTTCAGCCACAGAGAGTAGAAAGACTACTGACCAGCGTTTTAAAGTACCACAAAAATCATCAATGAAAGGAACATGGGATCAGTCAAGATATCGTATCAATGGTTGATGACACTGCTTGAAAAACACACTGACAAGCACAATGTAATGTCATACTGTTGCCACCCCTCATATGTCTTCCTTACCAAAAAACAGAAGTTTCCTCTTCATGATGGGATTCTACACAACAGCTATTCATTTTCATTTACTGGCTTTCGCATCTCTTTTGTTCTAACCAGGTCTCTCATACCACGCTTCTTACTGTAATACCCAGCTACCTTCCAGCAGTGCATTAGGCAGTACAGGTAATATCCATTATGGGCTGCTTCTTCTCTCGCTGTCTCCCTAGGGGAGAATATAGAGCATATAGAGCAGAGTGCTATGGTACAGCTCTCCGCAAGCAGGCATCAGCCACATGCCAGACAACAAGGAGATACAGACAGTATATATAAACTACTTAATATTCAAAGAAGATGCATACGCTACTTCAAAATAAACACATGGCTGTTACCACACATACCCTCAGAGTGCACCTGAAACAACTGTTCAATTACAAGCAACGAGAGAAGAAGTAGGAGAAAGGATTTTTAAAAAGTAACTGTCAGACAAATGAAAGCTGTTGGAAGCGTGGAAAGCAGAAAAGCAACAGGAGAAGTGAGTTAGGAAAGAATGAAACAAATCCTGAAGCAGAAGGATAAAGTGTTTGCACTTAGTTCAATAACAGCCTGAAGTCCATCCAAGGCATTACAAAAGAGAGTGAGAAACAACATGGCAGATTAAAAGGGAAAATTATTTTATCCAGAGTCTTTGATCAGAAAGCAGGAAAAACACTGAAAGAGAGATCAAATAATTACAGTGAAAGATGACCAGGGGAGGAGAAGTTGTGTTCACTGCCTAGTTTTGGGAGTGAGGGTGGGGGAAATGTAGGAGAATTTCCTGTTTAGAAGAGAAGGTTTAAAGCAACGAGGATGAAAGAACAGATTTGGAAAGTATCAATGCTTTAGAGTGTTTTAACAGCAAAACCAACTACAGCCTGCTGTCACACAAGCTAACATATCTAAATAATATCTGAAAAGCAGACTCAACAGTTATCTTTACTCAGGAACTTAAAAGTCCTCTTAACTGACTACAAAATTTTTATTTAAGCATTTGTAGCTTCCTCTTTATACAGTTTTAATATTGCTCTTTAATTCAAATATTTCTTAGAGGTAATAAGAATCAGTTGAAAGGTTTCCCCTCAATTTTCAAATATTTCAAAGGTAACTACAGCCAAATTATTAAAAAAAAGCTTTAAGACTAACAGTTTCCTTTCTGAATCTTGCATTTACAGAACAAAGCAGCCTCTTCCACATTGTAGCTTTACATGTACTCAATACATTTCCAGTTATAGACCAGTTATCCCAGATGGGATATTCATAATGAGACGTTATTGCTAAAATAAGCACATTTTCCAACAAAGGGTTTTATGAAACAGCTTCTTGGCACCAAGGTACCTCTCCTTTCATGGACCACAGATGCAGTCAAAGTGGAAGTAATAGACATACCTCAAATATACTAAGATTAATTTTGTAAATGATATATAATATAACCAGCATATGCTAGATTATGCTATATGCTTTAATGCCAAACTGATAAAATTACTTCTGTCATAACTTTGATGCTATCTTTTCTTTTCAAGAATTTCTCATTTCATGACAGGTAAGTTCAGTAAGTAACAGAGTATGCATTCTTAAAAGCTTGTTCAAGAAAAAAAGATTCTGAAGACTTTTTTTTTTTAATACACCTTTCATCAGAATAAGTTCTGAATCACAGGAACTAGTAGTGACTGAAACGTCATTAAGAAGTGACAAGCCACCAAAACAATCTTGACAAACAACATTGTTTAAGTGCTCGCCACCACAAAATACAGGAAGTTTTACTACGTAGGTTTATGTGAAACACAACCAATCAAACTTCTTTTATTCTGCCTCCTATTTATTTATTTAACCTTTATGCATATAGCATAAATCTGTTCTGGAAGAAACATCTGACTCTGTCTGACTCCATGCAGTCCTTGACTTCTTAAAAATAAATAAACAAACAGGTGCAGCACAGGCCAGGTTAAGCCTCACATCTCTGCACTACCACTGACTGACAACAACAGAGGCGTTAACATAATAGGGCAAAACTATTTAGCACATGAGATTGCTCATGTCATCGATCGGAGTTTATACTGGTAAACACCACCTCACTCCTGCTTACCTCCACTTGCCTCCCAAAAAAAGCAAGCATGGGCTCAAATTCTCAAGATGCCTCAACAAAGGTAATATATATCCATCCCTCCTAACCTGAAGACAGCTACTAAAACCACTGATTTGCTTCATCAACACCAGTCGGCCCTGGCATAGCTCAAATTAAAACAGTAATCTAAATACAAACAGCTTTGTTTCCATCAGCATCCCTTCCCATTATTTTAAATGAATAAAATAAGAGATGCATTACACTAAACATCGGGCTAACATTCTGCACCCATGCACAAACAGTTGAAGAACCAATTGCAAAAATAGTTGCATGTGTAAACAGGTACAGATGAATATGTAACTATTACCTTGAGCTGAAGGAGGAGGATGCTCCTGTGGCTTCTCTTGTGATAAAAGTCCCAGGTAGCTGAGAACTACGTATTTTGTTTCATAGTGAAATCCTACAGGCACAGCAGTAGAGGACGCCATCGGGTTGGCTTGCAATGTGGCAGTGCTCTTATGGGGCACGTAGGGTTTTCTCTGGGTAACTGAGGAAGGCTGTAAGGAAAGAAGAGAGTGTTTTGTTTGTTATTTTATAAGGCTACAATAGGTCATGAACTCATACATAACAAGGAATTATGTAACAATCGTGAAGTAATATCCAGGTTTTGGCCCTGATATCCTATGCATTCTTATTTTAATAAGAACCGTGCAGAGTAAAAACAACTGCCCCCCAGTCCAGCGCCCAGGGCCTGCTGCCAGGGTGCAGGACTGGGGAGAAATGCCATGGCATTTCTCACTCCTGCTTGGCATATGTACTCTCACATTAAAGCAGACTGAACAGTTCCTCACCGTGTGCCTGCCTCCTAATGTCTCCCAACTCAACCACACACAAAAATACACATGTATTCATGCAAAGAGGTTTTGAGGGATTCTGAAGACTTAGTTAACTGCGATTTGAGGTAAAAAGACAGGTTCTGAGGAGTCTCTCTTCCCCTAAGCCTCCGATGAGCATTTTCCCAATTCTCCGCTTTCTCAGATTCTCTATTATGATGCTTAAAAATTTTAATGCGGAAAAAGTGACCACAATTGCCTTGAATCATTTTACTGTTCCAACAGCAATGGAAAACATATGGTCAACAGAGGAAATTCCACATTCATTGTAGGGATTGGAAGAACAGATGGTTGTGTGTCCTGGATTTCTCACCCAGACATTAATACTTAAAAAACAGAAATCCACACCTAACAGCAACATTTGGCCAAAGACCTTCCCCCTTTTACTTTATTTGTTTTGTCGCTTTTTTCAAACATCCAAATAAGAAGTTTTTCCAATAATGAAAAATGAAGGTAGAGAGAAATTTAAACAGCCATAAAGAACAAGGGGGAAAAAATATTTCAGAAGGCAACATGGGAAGTGGGGAAAAAGCCATAAAACAGATTCAAAAGAAGTTTCAGATTAATCAACATCTTTTAGCTCTTTATATTAGGAACAGTCTGGATAACTATGTCCAACGCACAATCTACTTGATGAATCAAATCACAATATTTAGGGCTTTAAGATAAACTCTCAAAATTAAGTTCTTCATCACTTCAAAGAGTCATTCCCAAACAAGTAGTAGTCCACTCTTGGCCATCAGAATGGATGTCTACCTGAAAGGCATGCAGAAAAGTTCACACTACAGAACAGCTACTTAACAGATACCGAAGGAGCTAGACAATTTACTAGTGTGAGAGTGCAGTTACATTTAGAAGAAATATTTAAGCCAAGTTTAAAGCTTAAAGGAGTTTGAATGAGAAAAATGCTATATACATGGAGCAGGAGTTGGAACATCTCAAGAGGGTTCCTGATTACATTGGAAATGCCTTGAGACTGAGAGAACCAGGTTCCCAAACCAAAGCACAATCTGCAAATGTAGCCTCAAGATTAAGAATAATAATAATAAACAGAGCAAGCAAAAGGAAAGCATCGACCTGTCTAGCTATGCAGGACGTCTGGGCTAACTTCTAACCCCCCTCCTCCCTGGAAAGGAATTCAGATTAATAGCAGCACAACTGGTTACTGAGGATAAACAGAACTATTAACTGTGCTGCGGCATGGTTACTGTGTGAGTAGGTAGCTTGGCAAAGAAAAAATTATCCGTCAAACTAAAAGCTGCAGAAGAAAAAGAGTTGGTGCAAAATTGGCTAAGTTCTTCTGTTAATCTTCAGCAACTCCAGTTTCTGAAACTCACTCAGTATTGAAAACAGGAGAGGACTCTTTCATGAAGACTATACTCTGGAAGCTCTGCCTCTTGCCATGTATTTCAAAATGCCTGAAGTACTTAACCAGAAAGATTCGGTTGAGTCTTTGCTATGGCTTGAACCAAGGTAGTGATTTATATAGGAAGGAACCAATGTCGAAACTTTGAGCCAACACTCAACCCTCTTCCCTTGGAGCAGTAATCCTACATTTATGTTGCCTCTCCCATCCCAGAGTGCTCTACAGGCAACGTATCATGCTTCAGAAATGTAAGAAATTAAGGCAGAGGATAAGCACAGCTTTTGCACAATACAGTTACCCTTCAGCCACTTCCATAAACTGAGACTTTCATAAAGCAGGGAGATTTGGAAAAAAAACCCAAAAAACTGCTCAGAAGACTTTAGGATCCTTTAACAATAGATCTGCTCTTCAGATCAGATCCCCAGATGCCATCACCACATTATGTTCACATCACCAGGTGTGAAAGATGCCATTCACCAAAAAGCAAAAGCTCCCCAGCACGTTTCAGTTCTGGTTTGTTCAGTGGAGATCCACAGTCCTGAAACCAACACGCTTCTCGCAACACCTACACAGTGAATGGGATCCCTTCCAGACAACATGAACTGATCTGTCCTGAAAGAATCAGTCTGACGGATGGTCCAGAGACATCCAGACACTACGCTGAGGATCAAAGAACAAGTCTGAACATATAACAAAGATTATTCTTCAAAATATAATTCCAAATCAATGCAGAAAATGAAAGAAAAAACCAGTCGATCAAAACAAGCATGAGACTCCATACCAGCACAGTGATCCATGTGCAACAGTGAGGCCTAATTCACGAAAATTTCAGCGTGCTTAGCTCAGCAACTCTGGAGGGAGGAGGAAAGAAAAAAAGAGAGAGAGAATCAGACCACAGCTTATTTAAATAGTGGTTAATGTTTCCCTGGGAAAAGAATGAAGAAAAAAAGCTTTGGATGAAAAAAAGTAATCACTTTGGTCAATATATTCTGAGAGGTAGTTTTATACTGAAATGAGAAGGGAGACTTAAGAACTTGAATGGAAGAAATATCTTCAGCTTCACATAAAAGAATGTCAGACTGGGAATGCACTTCAGAATCACTGGTCCTCCTTTGAGAGAAGCCCACAGCACAGCAACTGAATTACTCATTTTGAATTGTGAATGACTGTTTTGTTTACAAAAAGAAATAGAGAAATATTGACTCAGATACTGTAAATATCTCAGAAAAGGCCATTTTTCAGGAATGAGTGGGATTAAAAAAGGACATGCAGCTTGAGAGACCTGATCAGAGGAAGGAGAGCTTTCCACTACAGGAGTAAAATGGAAGAGAGTCCAGAAACCGTTTAAGACAATAAGACAAAGGCTTGTATGGGAGATGTGATGGAGCCGAGGAAATAAGGCATTACACAGACTATGTAAGCCTCAAAGCAAGGGCAAGAGGGTTACTTCTGGTGTAACAGATTCAGTGCAAGAATATTGCCTCTTAAAAAGCTAAAGAGATCAAAATTACTACCAATTACTCCCTGCAAAAAACTTCACCCTTCTCAATTCCTGCACCCTTGGGAGAATAAAAGGCTACACTCGTTGAAGCTTACTTAAGCTTGCTACTCCTCCAACCCTGCTGTCGCTTGTTTCATGTGGGCTGAACTGCTCAGCCGACCTGAGAACAGGAGTCCCAGTCAGACTGACATTTCCTCGTGCAATCTGTCACATTCTAATCCACAGCAGTTATACGTTAGATAACAGGCAACGCAAGTCTACCAATGAATACAGTGAACATAATCCCCTGGCGATGAGGCTCTGCTATGTTTCAGTCCTTATCTGCAAAATCCTAGCGTGCATCAAGCTACGTTTACCGTGCATCATTCAAAAGACAAAATGCAACAGCATTATGATACTGCCCGTAAGAACAGTTCACCAGCTGCCACCAAGATCTACTGTGCATCTATTCGACTGTTGCAGGTCAGAGCCTTGCCTTTTGCATTTAGAGATGTAGCCTTGTATTTTGCTGCATGTTTATAAACAAAACAGTAGGTGATCAATATAGCTACCAATTTCTAATGCACTAAAAGCACAGGTCCAGAAACAACAGCGCAGTCACAGATTGCCTTCTTTTTACAAATAACACCGCCACCATGACCGTCCCACTTGAAAACAGAGTGAATCCAGGGCTGGATGCAGTTCCCAGCTACAGCCCAGGTTATCAAGCCTCACTTACCGGCTACAAACTTAATCATCCTAGACCACCGCTCTAGCAGAATGCTTCCTGCTGCTGGAGAATTATTTCAAAGCACGCATGGTCTCAGTCAGCAAGTGTTCACCCAAGCACAGACAGGGAGATTTAGCGAGGCAACCAAACGGTAGCACTGGAGTTCAAATCATTTTTAGGGCAGTGTGCCACTGATATATTCACAGGTTTGGGTCATCATCCTGATATCAATCTCTGCAACAGGTAACCACTCTCAGTTCACTCTAATCTACAGCCTTACACTTATACAAGTGCTCTTTATCCAAATGTACTGAATTTCAAGGAGTTGCAGGTCTGCAAAACCACACCCCGTATCAACAAGATGGAAAATATTCAAGTGCTCTGCAACCTTACCAGAAGGGTTGTGTGGGGATTTTGGATGAGACTTGCATGTATGGACTAGTTTAACCTTGCAGCAGCTTGTCTTTGAAAACACTTCACGTAACAGGTAGGACTTTTCAAAGCACCCGATTGAGATCAAGTTGGAAGATAAGTTCTTCAGAGTACTTTTCCAACAATATGTGATGGTATGACTAGGAGATTGTTTTTAATAAACTGAGAGCTACTGAGTTCAAACATGTCAGTTCTACTGGAAATGAATCAATACTGCATCCATTACTGATCCTCTAGTGGCACTTAATGGATAGAAATACTGGAAAATATGATAGTCATTTATCTGAGCAGTGGTTTTAGCTGGCCTTAGAGGGAAATGTAATTAAGTGAGCACTCTAGGCAGATAGTTTAATTTCTCGTTTAGGAAGAAAAACAAAAACTACATGAGTTATCCACTATAAAGGTTCTCAATCTTTTCCAGCTTTAAACCGTCTTACCACAATATTAAATCATTACAAACCCAGCTCTCATTAACAAGTTTTCACTCACTTTTTTCTTTAATTTGCCAAGCGCTATTTGGATTTGAAAGCGAGCAAGAGGACAGGCAGGTAAGGCAGAAGCCCCCGGGCTCCCTGTAAGTTTCAACGGCGCCAGACAAACGCAGAGCCCGAGCGGACGAGCAGCCTGCGAGAGTGCAGCGTGAGCGACTCAGTTACTACGGCGATGAATGAGATATTTATATCCGGGCAGAAACGGCAAGGAGCAGAAAGCCGGGATGAGTCAGCCGGCGGGGTCCGCGCGGGAGCC